CGGACTGAAGATGCTGGCCCGCCCTGCCTAAGGGTGGGCTGGCGGGCTGGCGGGCAGGCGGGCCAGCCCGCTTACAAAAATAAAAATAATAATAATAAAAAAATATATATTTTATGGTTAAATAAAAAAATTTTGCTACAAATAAATAAATATAATCATATGAAATTAAAAATGCATACATATTGTACTTAATATATGTTCAACAAAAACAAATTACAAACTTAAAACAAAATCAAATAGAAATTAGTCCATTTACACCAAAATCAAAACCAAATTATAAATTTACAAATTATTTACACTAAATTTTTTGATAGTCCACAAAACAAGTTTAAATACAATTAATTAACTTTAAATTTTTATTTTAAGAATATTAGAAGCTCTCTTGAAAGAAGATGTCTCTACTTTTTTTCTTAATCATCTTCATCTTCATCTTCTACATCAAAATAAAATAAACATAAAAATAATTAAATTAAAAAATATATATATATATGCGGGCCAGCGGGTTGTGGCAGGCCGGCCCGCTATTTGGCCCGGCAGGTTACCAATTTTTGGCGGGCCAACGGGTCAGCCCGCGGGCCATAGCCCACTTTGCCATCTCTATTATATACACTTATTTTTAATAAATAAATAATTTTTCTTAAAAAAAAAAACAACTTCTGTGATGCTCTAAGTTCCCTGAAACAAAAACAAATTGTGATGTCTGAGTAACACTTATCAACTGAAACAATCTGTGTTTCCTTCTCTGACTTGTACAATGTCAGTGTTATCGCCTCAAACACTCTCGCCACTTCTTCTAAACACCAAGACAGATTTTGGGTCTCCACTTCCTCTTATCACCTTCTCCTCCACACCCACTAACCGCTCCTCCCTCTTCATCTCTTTCAACAGTAACTTCATTTTTCCCACTTCACCCTAAGAAAAAAAAATCATTTTTCATGGTCTAACATGTTTGGAATCTCGTGTTTCTTCCAAATTTTGCAGATTCTGGAAATGGGTTGGCCAGTGAAGACAAAAAAATCTTGCTTGAGAAGTACGGCTACGATGTCGATGCTGACGAGTACTTTTCTCAGTCATCTCCTAAGGTTCCATACGCCTCAAAATATGTGTCATATCATGTTGAATAACCACCAATTTCGTCCTCGAAATTATTACCTTTTTCCTCTTAAGTGGTCTTTAAAGTAATAAATTGTTTAAGCAATCTTTGAAGTATTGAAAATTCATCACTTTTTTATTATTATTATTATTATTTTAAGGGCTACTTGGGAGTTGGGAGAGAGGCTAAAAGGTTAAGGATGAAATTGGTTTCGGGTTTAGTGAAAATGTGTTTTGTGAATTTTAGTGTTTTCCTTTTTTATTTTTCTTATGAATGCAACTGTTTAGTCTAAGAGGAGAAAGGAGCAGCTAAAGAAAAGGGGAGGGAAGCAAGTGCAGGACCCACCAGAGGACCCTAAGCCTCCTCGTACTACCCATAAGTTGCTTCAGGTATTCTCATTTTTGGACTTGGTCCTTTAAAGGGCTAATGGATGAGGAAAATACAGGGTGATTATTTTGGTATATTCATAGATAGATTGCTAATGTGAGGTTGTTTGTGAACAACATTATGGAAGTGATGCATTCCAAGTAAAGTTTACCTACACTTTAGAAGACTTTATTTAGTCCCCATATTCTTGCTTTCTTTGCCTTCCTATATAATTTTGGATGGCTGTATCCTATGTGTATGATGAATTGCCAACATTCCTAAAGGTTTTAAGATGATAGAGATGTTTGGGATTTTATCACTTTTGTGTTATGGTACACTCCCCTCCCTTGTATATGGGGTTCATATTTTCCGAGCACAACAGTTGGTCATTCTCAATTCTTGAAGAGTAAGAATGGGGACGGGCTTATGGGGTATGCCAATATGACTCTGCCATATTTGATTATTAACTCTCCTAAAATCCTAAGCTGGTAATGGATGAATGATATTTGGTCATTTATTGGATGGAGATGAAAGTGATGACTGGTGAAACTGATTCTGATAATGATTTCATGGATGCACTCTTGGACTATTTATCTTAGGAACTCAGCTAATACATCTACCTCCTTCAATTTGTTGAATATAGGATGGAATCACTTTGTATTACAATAATAATTATACATCTTACCATTTGGTCCTCTTCCCTAACAACAAAAAAGAAACTCAGCACTTTTTCATCACACAATATCTAAAAAATGGTTAGGTAATTTTATTCCATTTCTTTCCATTCTGGACTCCATCTCATTACCCCCGTCACTGCCTAGATCCGTTAATCTCTTTCTGATAGTTACATTTTAGGGCTGCCACATCTATTTTGGTTTTATACCAATCTTTGGAGCATGCTATCAACTTTCCAAGCTTTAAAAATTGAACATTTTACTGTTTCATTTTTCTTTAGAAGTTATGCTTAAGTATTGAACTTATATGGAAAATTTATGTAACATAGTCAATATTTAGCGGTCGTCTTCTTTTTCTGATGTTAATGCCTTTCTTTAGTTAGTCATGTGCTTTTTAGTGCCTCTTCCTCTAGACATTAAAACCTTACAGGGTGATGACCTTGGTTTACTTATTTTAAATAATAGTGAAATTAGTATTTAAAAGTGATGAAAGTAACCTAGGCTTTTATAGTTCTATTTCTAATGACTGAGCCTGGTTGGATAACTTCAAAACCAAGGAGAGGGTGACTAAAATTGAGTCCTACAGTAACTGTGGGTGTTTGGATATCTTATAAGTTTTGCAAAATCAATTCTGAATCAATTTTGGGGTGGGTAGAATTTATTCTGGGAGAACTGCAAGTTTATCTTTTCTATTGGTAGAAATGATTTTGGTCTTGGGTGACCCTGCATAGGTTCTCGGAGGAACAGCTCGAAGAGTGAAGCTACTCTCACCAAAGGGCATGGATGTACGCCCCATGATGGAAGTGGTCAAAGGTGCAGCCTTTGATATATTACAGGTACCAATTTCATGTTTTATCTCTTCTGTAGCACACTTGTTTGCTAATTAATTTTTGATATTGGTTTCATCTAGTCTGTACAATTTCCTTGCTGCAACTTTCATGTTTATACTAATAATTTTATTTTTCAATACCAAGGCAGCTGGTGGCTGTCCTGCAGCGCTGAGACCTGGTCGATGGTTAGACTTGTACAGTGGTACAGGTTCTGTTGGAATTGAGGCACTTAGCCGAGGATGTTCTGAGGTATTCATGTTTTCAGTGACAACTGACAAGTTTACATTCACTATATCCTATGGATGTGAGTTATGCAAAAAATTTTGATCGCTTGTCAGATTATCTGAGCTATCTGCCAAGTGACAGAATCAGCCTTCAGTTAAGAAATGGAATTAACAGATTTCAAGAAGATGCACAAAAGGATTTTCAATAACTTTTTTCTAAATGTTCCTGAATATAATACTATTTTGTCCTGAAGTCTCTTCTTTATATGATTAATCAGGTGCATTTTGTTGAGATGGATCCTTGGGTTGTATCAGATGTTTTACGTCCAAACTTAGAGGAAACTGGATTCCTTGATGCTTCGGTCATACATACTGTTCGTGTGGAAAAATTCTTTGAGCGTGCAGAACAATTCGTAGGCATGTTTATCTTTTCTCTTTAATTCCCTTTTATGCATATCTACTTGCATCATAATCAACTGGGAATAGGGTTATGCAAAATTATTAGGTTACAAAATGATGTATAACACAGACCCACACACAAAATTTCTTGAATTTAGTTAGGATGCACTTCCGGTATAAAGGTTTTTTACACCGTTATTGAATTATGAATTGTCTTGTATGATAAGGTTATTGACTTTTACACTTAGCATCATAATCAACTGGGAGTAGGGTTATGCAAAATTATTGGGTTACAAAATGATTTATAACACAGACCCGCACGATCAAACAAAAAAACTTGAATTTAATTAGAATTCACTTCCAGTATAATTTTTTTTACATTGTTATCTAATTATGGATTGTCATGTGTGATAAAATTATTAACTTTTGAAATAATTACTTTAAAAGTTGTATTAAAGATGATTTCTAGTTGGTTGACAATGTATAATTCTTTACACAAACAGTGTATCAAAATTAAATTAAAATGCTTTTATGGCTTGAAATTTGAAATGTTTGATGTAAAAAGTATTGCTTGTACAAGTATTTACCAGAAAAAATTTTGAAGCTAAATTTAATTTTGTTTCTTCATTATGTAACTACTGTTTAGAATCTTATTTAAGGGAGTGTAATAAATATTTCCACTGTTATCTTCCACCACAGACAACTGCCAAAGTGAGGATGCTAATAATAAAATTAGCATGTTGTAAATTTAAATTTTTTACATGCAGGAAACGATGGCCCATTTGATTACATTAGTGTCACCCCTCCATATACACAAGTTGACTATCAGGTGCTGATGAGACAAATATCAGAGTCATCCTTGATTGGAGAGAACACATTTATTGTATGTAATAGTTTCTTACATCCTCATTATTCTTGGTCCTAACTGTCTTCTTACCAAGTTTATATTGATCTGTAATGTTCTGTGATCTAGGTAGTTGAGTATCCTTTAAAAACTGACATGCTGGATTCTTGTGGAAGCCTTGTGAAGGTAATTCAAGTAACCAATACTACTGTGTCTGCATAACAAATAATATGTTGCACCATGTATGCACTAATTGTCAACCATTATATTTTCTTGAAATTCTTATAGCCTGATGGGGGGTGCAGGACCTATATTTATGAATTTATGTTATACATGTGGATTTTAATGATATGCCCACCAAATTGAGCTGTCTAGTGGTGGTTTGAAACTACAGGTAACCGACAGACGGTTTGGACGGACGCTCTTGGCAATTTATGGACCAACATGGTCCCAGAAGAAGAGGAGATGACACATTCAAATTACCACAGTTTCAGTAAAGGCTGAGAAACATGCTGGTGCAATTTTTTATCTGTTACAAGGGTCAACAGGGTTTAGTTTCTGAAACCTATCTCACTTCTTCAGAAGCTGTTATACAGAGTCTAGTGTTGGTCCCTGCGACAGGTCACCACATGTTATGTGATGTCTTGTGGTGAATTATGAAACCTTGGATTCTTTTCATATAAGATGAGAACCCCCTCAGCTGATAATTGATTTATTAAATGTATATTAAGGTTTCATTATGGTTGGTCATAGTTGAAGTGAATTGTGATAGTAAGGGAACTTTATCTACAATATTAGGAGTGTGAATCTTGAAATCATCACTCTAATCATTCTAAGAAGGGCTTCACCTAACTACTGCTCAGAGAGAGATAAAGGAAGCATGAAGGTGAATTAATTGAAAGAGGGAGAGTTTAAAGAGAGTTAAAGAGAGAAATTTTTCAGAGGAAGAGATCAGGTAAAGAGCTTTGACATTATGTTTTTTCTTCGTGGTTTTTTTTGGGTTATATTATACCTTTTATTGATACTTTGTTGATTTCATCACAACCACAACTCAAATCCCATGTTTTCATACTAAATATCTATAATTCACGTTATGTTAGCCCCCTTGAACTGTACAATCATCAGCCTTTCAAAGTCCTGGTAAATTGAAACGTTAAAATTTAAGATACAAAAGAGGTTTTGCTGGGAAGGTTTTTGTTAAATTACAACAGAAAATATAAAAGATAAAACCCTTTTCCCTTGGTAACCTTTTTGGTATTCAAATTTTAATGCACGTTATGGGATGAAAATAAGAGATTAATGATATATGTAGCTAATGGCTATGCTCAAATTGAGTTTGATCTTGTTTAAATAAACTTTTTTGTAATTATTGATTGGAAAAAGAAAACATGGAAATAAATTGGATTAAGTTACTTCAAATAAGCTAAAATCAATCTTTCGAAGAAGTTAAATGAAATAGCTTCAGTGTGAAAGTTGATTTTAATTTATAGGATTTTTTTTCTACAAGTGTTTAAAAGAAGGATATTATATAAGGGTTTTCTAAGATGTGGTTTAGAACTTAATTTATCTTTATAAAATCGATCTGTAATATGATAATTGTTTTTTTTTATATAGATTTTATGTTTCATCTATAGCTGATCTGAGATTTGTATTTGAGATTATATACTATACAACATAGTAACGACAAAAACCAAACAATATGATGTATTTCTATGCTAGACGAAAGGCTGCGTCAAACCATGTAAACACCAGAATTAGATATTCCTTTTATAGGTGGGACCTGAGATGTTAGAATCACTTTGCACCAAAAAACGTGATTCAGCTATGGTGTTGGATTGTTGTGGAATACGATTGTGAGAGTATAGAGTAGAGCATAAAAGAGTTAGGTTGATTCAGAAAATAAAATACATTTTATGTGATCGATCCTAATAAGTATTTTATGATCGATAGATGTTTCGATTAACACCAATATAAATTATATGATCAAAATATACGTATCTACTAAATATATAATTAGTATTTATTTTTATTATTATTATGAATTTCAAGTTAAGTTGAGTTGAGTTTGAACTTATCAATTGATTATTCAATATTATAATTAGATAAGTGAGAATATATCTAACACAATCTCATAATTAATTAGTGCATGTTTGGAATGACGTTGATTATATATATGTAAAAATTACAAATCTTTACTTCTCTCAAACATGGATCCAAATTGACATGACATAGTTCTAAACACATATTTAACCGATGATGTTTACAAACCTGTTGTAAATTAGAATATTATTTTTTTTGGTAATATAAAGTTTATGTAAAACAAATTTTAGGATTCAAAGAACTCTTATATAGATAATTACATTTATTCTTTAATAAAATTTTTACATTGACAACAAAATTTAAAGTCAAATTTGTGAGATATGAGGTTGATTTTTACCAACTAAATAATCTTAAGACACATTTGAATGAAAATGCCACTTATCCTATCCAAACACGAACCATTCAAAACATGGTTGCTTTTTTAAGGTCTTTGGGGAATCGAGGGAAGATCTATTAATAGAAAACATGTGAGCTTGATTAAGATCTTGAACCAAAAGATAAAACAGAAACAAGAAATGTATCTCGTGATCGTGATGACGTGGTTTAAACAAGAGTTGTAAAGTATTTCTCATCCACTGTCGATCCAATTCATTGAATTTATTTTAGACTTACATTTCAAGGTTGAAAGTGCATTCATTTGTTCTACCCAATGCAATGACAAATCCAAAAGCTGCTCACCAGAATCAATATGAGTTACACTATATCAACAATAAAAATATTTGTCTCTCGTCACTTCAAAAAATATTTATTAATGATAGAAATATATAAACAAAAATTATATTCTACAAGTTATTATAGAATTTTTTTATATATGTAATGACATTTTTCAATCAAATTTACACCAATTTTTTTTAAAGAAAGTATAAAAAGAGTGATTTATTCTACTTAATAACTAATTGCGTGTATGTTAAATTTAACTATTTAATTATTAAATTAAAAGTTATTATGTATCAACTATACTGAAAAAATAATTACTCTTGCCATAAATATATCATTTTATTTTATCTTTGTATTTAAATTATATATAGCAAATATGAAGGAAAAAAAACGGTATGTTACATTATTTTCATGATTTCATACATAAAATATTTGAGAGTAATGAAAAAACAATAAAACCGAAATAACATTTTTGTAATTAGGATTGATGACAAAAAGTGAACATATGTAACATTTTTTTAACAATTTAATTCAAATCTATTGACCGTTTAATTTTTTATTATCATTTAGTCATAAATTATTGTACATAATAATAATATTATTTTTATAATAACTACTCTTAAAGTCTTATTTAGAATTGAGTTTTAATTGGTTGACAATATAATTTTTTGTATGTAGTAATATATAAGGTTAAACTTTTTTTATGTAAACCAACTATATTTTAGTATGTAATATATTGTCTCTAGTAGTAGTATGTCTTTTTAGCTTTATTCTACTTGATGCATATACAATACTTCAAACCCATGAAAAAAAGAGGTATCCCCAACTTCCCAAGTTTTGAATCCTTGTTTTCAGGGATTCTCCGGAGTTAATATATAAAAAGAAGAGTAACCCCATTTTGGTCCAGGATGTCCAATGACAAAATCATGATGTGTGCATGTTTATTGAATTAAATATGATTCATGTTTTGAAAATCTTTTGAAGATCAAATAGTGAGTTATTCTTCAAAGAATTTTAAATCAATTTATACGTTTTAAAAAATAAACAATAAATAGTAACAAACTACATTGGATTTAATTAAGCGCGGAACACATCTTAAAAATTATGTTCAACAAAACTATAATAATAGAGTACTACATGATATATTAATTTACTTATAAAAATATAATTTTTTTAATGTGGTAAGAGCTTTCTATATCGGGTGTTTTAGACATTTTATATTAGACTTAGACATGACATAATGTCCATATATTCTGTGAAATAGGTTAACACATGACATAAAAGATATACTTTTTATGTTAGGTGGTTAACGTATGTCATAATACGAATATTAAATATAATATTTTAATCACATTAACATCAACATTCTATGGCAGGTATAAATACATGTCATACAATAACCTATCATAAAAAAAGTACATTTTTTTAATATTCTTTTCTTTTTTTGAATTTTTCAAAATCTGAACAAAAAATACATTTAAAACAGTTTAATATAGTATATTATTGTCAAGTTCAATACAAACCTATATAAAATACAATATCTATCATTTAAAATTAAAACAATGTATAAAATAAACTAGCTAACAATTAAAGAGAGTTAACAACAAAACTAAAGTTAACAATTAATTGTTATTAATCAATTACTCCAATACAAGTCCCATAACCACTCAAAACTAGTCCTAAATAACCACTAAATTACATCCAAAAGCCCCACAAAATCAGAAGCTCTTTTCAATCCAGCAGCCCCCAAACTACCTACAAATAAGCACATCAAAACAACCCCAACTAAACTCAACCCAAAAGTCCCAAAAAGTAGCATTGAATTCATTGACACATTTTATCGATCCATTTATGTGCATACAACATAAACACAACAATTTTAACCATAATAGCCCACAAAACATTAAATTAAACTTAATAAACCAAACAAATCAAGCAAACATATAACAAACAACCAAAATGAAGGACAAGTAAAGATTCGAATGCTAGAGCACGAAGGAGAACTGAACCAGTAACACCTCGAAGCTCACTAGACTTCCTCAGAGGAGTTTAAGTAGCTATGGGGTGAAAATGTCATCATAGAAAGCATAACACTTCATCTTTGTTCATCGCACTTGGAAGGAGAAGAATAAAATAGTGTAACTTGGACTCTACTTCGTGTTTTGGCCTAATAAAATAATACTCTACGTCAAATGTTTCGTCATGCAATATGAAAAGATACATCTATGTCGAGTAATACTACATTCCACATAGAATGTATTATGAAAAGTTAAATGTTAATTCATCCTAGCTAGGGATGGCAATGGGGCGGGGCGAGTACAGGTTTCATGATACCTGTTCCCGTCCCCGCAAGTTAAACTCATCCTCATCCCCGTCCCCATACCCGTCGGGTATAGATTTTCATCTACATCCCCGTCTCCGTCGGGTATCGGGTATACCCGTACCCATACCCGTATCCGTCAAATTTTTTTTTTTTTTTTTGTAAAAAAAATGATATTTTTAAATTTTTTTTATTATATTATAATTATAATTAGGTTATTTTTTTATTCATATTATAATAAATAATCACACATAAAGAAATATTAAATTTTTTTAATATAATTAAATTGAAAGTGAATATTAAATTAAAAATGAGAACGGGGTCGGGTACGGGTACGGGTACGGAGCGGGTAAGTACATACCTGTACCCGTACCCGATTTAATATATCAGGTTTTACCCGTACCCGTACCCGTACCCGGTCAAACCGGGTATTCCCTGTCAAAGTCGAGACGGGTTCGGGTATTACCCGTGGGTACGAGTATATTTGTCATCCCTAATCCTACCATATTCTATGTTAAATGTGGTGTCATTCAACATAAAATATTCTTTTTATTTTACACTAGACATAGAAAAATTGACAAATATTACAACTCTGTTATCGCATCATATTTTATATCGTGTGGATTACATCGAGATAGAATTTTTATCATAATCTTTATTTTGCACTAGTGTATGATATATTAATTTACTTATAAAAATATAATATATATTATTTTAATTTTAAGATGCTCTGAATTTCACTTCAATGATATTTAAACTTTTAGCAACTTGATGACTCAGATAAATATGTGCTCCTATGTATCATAATGCCCTCAAGGGAAAGCAGGCCATCGCATCATTGTTTTAATATTTTGAAACTTTCATTGAAATTATAAAAGGCACTTGAACTATATTGCTGCTTCTTATATAATTCTTTTTAGCCAAGATATGTTTATTTATTTGTTGCTGCTTATGTTATTTTTGTTCCTTACATTACATTACTCGCTCAAGTGATATGTACTTGACATAAGTTTTCAATTTCATTCTTTCAAAGTACAAATCGAGTGAGAGTTAGAGAGATCATAATGAAATCCACTTTTCTAATGAAATCCCCTTTTCCTAGTTGCATGAAAATGCACAAACCCAGCAAAAGAGAGTTCAAGTGGACACTTTTCTTAAACATAAAGAGGCTCAAATAACTAACTTTTCTGATTCATTGGCCTTTTATGTTTGTCCATGCTCTCTTCACCCTTTCTCCCAATTCCCCTTTCCCATTTTATATTTTTCTCTCTCCCTCCCCACACACAAAACACACGAGTAAATTATTAGCACTCCCATAGTATCAATTCATAGGTTATATTAGTTTAATTTCGATACGCTAGCATAAATGATTTCACTTTAGTATAAAGGTTTTTACTTTACAAAGTAAATCTATTAGCAATTATCATAAATATGATTTTTAATATAATTACTACAAAAACTTAACAATCTTATTATACATAACAATTTGTAATTGTTCACTTAAAAAAACACATGTGATTGAATGAAAGCTTAAAACATTTCCTTTATATTTTTAGATACTTTATTTTCAATTCTATTACTAATTACCATTAATATAAGAGAATGGACAAATCTAGGATACAATCATACAATATCTATATTGGTTGCTATTTTATCAAAATTAGAGTTGTATATAAGAACTCTTTTAAGCACTCCAACATTAGAGTTGTTCAAATTAAGGTAAAACTCCAGTCTGTTTAGAAAATAGTACTGTATATAAGTTTCATACTAAGAAAATTTGGTATTCAGAAAAATCTAAAAATCCTGGTACAGTTGTTTATTGGACCCGTAGTTGAGAGAGTTTGAACATACTAAGAAAGAGAAAAGGAGGGAAGAGAGAGTTCTCCATAACAACACCAAAAACTTTAAATTTTCGAAGATACCATAGAATTTGTACCAACTTAATTTCTTTTTCTTGTTGTGTTTATCTATAAAAAAGGTACATATGAGGTGTCATAATTTTAATATATGAGTATTGAAAATGTTGTGCAACCCCCCAATAGAGAACAGTTTCTGTTGTCTGCCTTTAAATAGAGTCCACTCTCTCTAAGCCCGCCAAGTTAGGAATCAGATAGTCCTTTTCTTTTCTTCTCTCTCTCTCTGTACTTCTTATATCATCTTTGTGTGATCAATGCCACAATGTCGCTGAAACACTCTCACACCTTTGCCTTCACTTGCCAGCCACTGCCAAAGGGTGCAAAGTCACACTCATAATAAGAGGGGTGAGTGAAGATATGGGTGTTGGTGGTGTTGTTAGTTTTAGAAGGTTGCTTGTTGGAGCCTTGGTATCTTTAGGAGTCATATGGTTTATGTTTCTTGCAATCTCAGTGAACCGTCAAACCAAAAGGACAGTGCTAGTTCCAATGAATGCTATCTCCAAGCATTTGAAGTTGGTTGGCATGCAGAGACATGGCCTGCATCTGCATTCAAATTCTGGACTCATCATTGTGAGCAAGAGAAGAGTGCCTAATGGTCCTGATCCTATACACAACAGGTACACACATTTATCACATACTTTATGGTGATGTATTTGTTCAAATGATTTTAATGGCTTGTACTTAATCACAATAAACAAAGGAACTGTGGTTGGTTAAGTGTTTTGGTACAGGATCACACACTAGGATAATTCAGAGATCTAACTCTTGTTAATGCAAATAAATAACGGTGTGTTTGGTTTCATATTTTTCCTAAGCAAGGTGCATTTAATCAGAAGCAATTATTTGTTACTTTTACGTTCATTATCATAATTTGAATAAAATTGAAGTAAAATGTGTGTATTCAACATATTTCCAAACACATGCATGCTTGTGTGTTTGAAGATGTATTAAATACGAATGTTCTACTTCAATTTCACATCAAATAGCAAAAATGTATACAAAAGTAACAAATAGTTGTTTTTATTAAATGCACATCATCTGGAAAAAGAAAAATGTGAAACCAAACACACTCTAATTTATTTGCACAAAGACAAATTCACTACAAGAAGCAAAATTTTTGTTTCATTTTGAATTTGGTTTTGTGGCTAATATGCTAGCAACCATGTTTTCATATGTTAAAAAAAGGTTAAATCAAGAATAGGCAATGTTGAACTCCATTTCATTCTATTCATTACATTAGGCATAGCTAGCCTTGTAGAAATTCTTTTGGCACTTAGCTAAAGGGTCACACTTGATAATTTTTCACTCTTTATCAAAAGCTTCTTTAACTAACAATCTTTCTCTTATTTTCATGAGAAACCAAAAAAAGACATTGGGTGAAGAAATGTACCACTTTAGTTATTGGGGGGAAAAATAATTCGGTGGCTCCTTTTCCTTTCTATGGAAAGCTTGATTAATTTATTGGACGATCATGAACTACTTTTAGCCTCATTTGAATTTAACAATCCAATTCATGTCTTATTTCAAAGTGGAGTTTTGCTTCCTATTGATGTTAAGTACTCTATATATTTGAGGACCCTTTATGATGATTATCACACTATTTTCCGTACCATGGAATTTCATTTCATTTCTATTCACATCGTGTAGCTCAACTCTTTCTCTCTCTCTAATTTTCTGAATATCTTTGTGTAATGTTTATGAATGAATTATTCAGGAGAGCAGTGAAAACTAAACGGCCACCTACACAAGCTTGAGCATTGTGAAGTTCCACAGCTAGCTGGAGGAAAAATCATAGAAGAATTTTTGCTATTCTCTTGTGGAAGAATTCAGGGTGTGTTTTATAAGACAATGTTGTTACATAGTATTGCAAGTGTTTTGAAAGTGTGATCCTTAATGTTCTTTTTGTTTTTTCCCCCTTTGAAATGTACCTTTGATGGTGATGTAAATCAAGGCCTTAGGAAATGAAGTAACCAAATTTTGGATGCAATTTAATCATGTCCTTAAATTCTTGAAGTAAAAAAAAAATAGTGCAATTTATTGCTATAGGAATGCATGAGTGAGTGAAATACTCTGTTTTTCATCATCATTCTTATCCTAAAATTACACGTGAGAAACTTGAGAAAGACTACACTTTTGAAAGCTACATACACAGTATACTATTTACTTTTTCCCTACTCAAATCTAGAGAGAGGGAGAGAGATTTATGGATAGGAATATATTATGAGAAAAAAACAAGACAAGCCCTTCCAAATGAGAAAAAAAAGGGCTAGTCTCCATGCATCATATTATTAGGCCTTAATTTTTTAGTAATTTTGGGAATTCCTTTTATGGTGGCACCCTCTTTTAAGTGCCTAGTGTTCAACAAACCACTTTCCTTAATTTAAAGTTTATACAACTAAACAATTCCTTTTCATTTTCCATTTTCTCTTCATCACTATCAAAAAAACAATATGGGTTTTCTTTGCCCTGCCATGTGGACCTATAGATATGCCACTTAGCCACTAGTTAAGAAGACAAAATGAATATACAAATTATAAACATAAAACATAAAACATTCATCATAACTGCTTGCTCAATTATAGGTCTCAAATAGACTATGAACAGTCTCAAATGAAGGAAGGGTCCTACTTTCATATTTTTCTTGTGCTTTAATAATAAGATTTTTTTAATGTATGAAGTATTCACAGATGACTAATCTCTTTCAATGAACTTAACTGATTATTTGTAATAGTTTTTCTTTTCTGTCATATCTGTTTTATACACTGAGCATAGATTTAGAATCTTACTTAAAAGATCGAGTTTACAATTGCTTAAATTAACGATTCATTGGTATAAAATTTTGTTAGTTAAACCACATCTTGGGCAAATCCAAAAGAAATGATTATTATAGGTGAATGAATTAAGGAGATGTTGGAAATTCCACTAAAGCCAAATCAGCAAAGGAGAAATCCCTGGTTGCTGCTTTTTCTTTATCTTTGCTTTTTCTTTCTGGTCTGATTTTCTATAGATTCGAGAAGGATGTGACTTGGTCCAAAGTGAGTGAGATTCAAATTATGAATCTGTTTCATTTTTCATCCATTGCATGGGAGACAGATTCTCACCCCTGCCAGTGTTTGTTTCTCTTTTGTGAATATATTGGCAGATGCAAAACCAGGTGAGTCTGCTGAATTGGATCACAAAGTGTCCTACATGTCCATGTTTACAATTATCAAAAGTATGTGGATCTCTAAAGAGGGTCCCACACCCTGGTTTGTCTACTTACTATTTAGCCCAACTTTGGACCGAGGCTACATTGCACTTCAAATATTATATTTACATTTATATTATAGTGAGGATAACATATTCACATTCTCACTTTAATTATAATTATATTACTTACATAATTTTAAAAATATTATATTTTGTAATTCCTCCTATTATATATTGAATTCGTTGATGATTATTTTTAATATTTTTTCTTTATATTATATATATATATATATGTATATATATATTTTTGTTAAACTACCCTTAGTCTCGATTTCTAAGCAATGTGGGACTTTTAGGCATACCAGAACAAGCTTCCCAGTCGATGCTAAGGGGCGAGAGTGGCCTAGGTCCTCCTTCTAGCGCCAAATGTTCCTACTGTAAGTCCGCTATCATCATCAGAGTCACCGCATCTGAGGTATTATCTGCTTTGGCACTCGTTAGGCCGTCATAGTTTTATCTTTTAAAAGGAGTCTCGGTGAGTTAAGGAGAAAGGGTGTTTATAAACTACCCTTAGCTTCGACTCCTAAGCGAGGTGAGACTTCTAGACACACTGGAATGGAATATATATGTTAATGATTATTAATTTTTATTTTTTTAAAATAATTACTTTTCGTTAACTTATTATTTTGGACCTGTCACTAAATTTGAAAATTATGTTGAAATATCGAATAATATGATTTCACATTAATAAATTAATTATGACTCTAGAATTAATTTTAAATAGAAACAACTTTAAATAGTTTTTTACGAATAAAAAAATTATAATAAATTTTGTTGTTAATTTTTAAAGTAAATACAACTAAGTATATAGTATTAAGGTAGACATAAATTGAATTTAAAATATATTTTGATTCTCCTCGACTTTACTTAGATTGGAATGGTTCAATTAATTTTGTTTTTCCGTCCAACCTGAACCAATTCGATCCAATCATAATTAATTTAGATTAGATTTATTCATTGAATTTATTCATAAAATAAAAACAAATAAAAAAAATTAAATCACGCTAAACAACTTGTAAAAATGTATTTGAATGTCATAAAACAAAAAAATAATTAATATTATAAACATGTTCATCAACATTATAAAGTACTAAAAATATTTAAATTACAAAACTTAAAAAGTAATAAACATCTTTAAATTAAAATTTTAAATTTGTCAAACATCACAATCTACTAAAGTATCATATTTCATCTTCAATATTATAATTTCAACAAAATGCTTTTAAGTGTTACAATCAACATGATGGGGTTATTTTATGGTATTCGTCTAAGGAAATATTTTATAAGAGTTATTTTTATAAGATGAGCATAATCTAATTTTATTCATGAGATCTTTATTTATAAAAAAAATTTGTTATACAAAATCAAATATTGATATTATTTTATTCTAAAAACAAGGAAACAAATCCTAAAATAATCAAAATAGATTAAATCTAAATATTTTAAATATAAATAATTTTTTTATCAAAAACTAATTTATTCTCCTAACGATATTTAGGCATATTGCCAACACTCCTCTTGATTGAATATCTTTATCACCTAATTTAAATTTGAATTTCAAAATCTGTCTTTTCTCTTTTTGATCGATTTCTTCTTTTTGTAATTTTTGTTGCAATCCTTCCTGTGTGGGACAACTTTAACATTTGTCTCGAACTTCTCTTTTGAAGGTGGTTTTTCATCATCTTCATTCTCCTCTAGATCATCAAACTTCTTTTGAAGACATGCATCTTTGTGCTCTTCACTTGTATCTTCACTTATAATTGGCTCCTCCTTCTCCAAATTTAAAGCAAAACTCTTGCCTTTCATATGAACATTGAACACTTCTTTGTTGTTTACATACTTAATCACACAATTATTATCTTCAAATAACACTTTATATCCTTTTTCCAACAACTGAGCAACACTCAACAAATTTTGATTAATATCCGGAACGTATAAAACATCATATATTAATTTCAAACCTGAATGACATTTAATAACAAATGTTCCTTTGCCTTTTACTATAAGGTGTGCTCCATTCCCCATTTGAACTTTAGAGATATTAATTTTGTTGAGTTCTTTGAAGAGTTCTTAGTCATAAGTCATATGATTTGTACCACTATCAATAATCCAAGCTTTTGAGGGTTATTTGGTCATAAAGCATGACATTGAAAGTAGTTGTTTTTCTTTCTCTTCTTGTTGATCTTCAACAATATTGGCTTCTTCTTGTTGTTCATGAGATTTTCATACATAATTTAGGTGCCCTAATTGTCTGCACTTGTTACATTTTGAATCAGGTATCCACCAATGTCTCTGTTATGGATGATTAGTCTTTTTGCAATAAGGACATGGTAGAAAAATTTGAGTGCTATTATTTTGACTGTTCTCTAGGAACAATTCCTTCTTCTTGTTTTTGCCACCATTGTTGTTCTTCCATTTGGCTAAATATACACCATCCAAAGATCCTTCTTCTCTCATACGCCTCCTTTGTTTTAATGCTTACAATGCATGTAACACCTCTACCAAAGTGATCTTACTCAGATCCTTTGTATTCTCCAAGGCCGCTATTGAAGCTTCATATCTTTCAGGTATAGTTACTAGAATTTTTTCAACAATTCTAGAATCAAGAAATTGTGTTCTTAGTAACCGTACCTTATTAGTAATGCCAAACAATTTGTCTGAGTATTGTTTAATTGTCTCAGTCTTCTTCATTCTTTGTATCTCAAATTCTCTCATTAAATTTAATACTTGCATGCTATGAATCGTTTCATCTCCAGCATATTCTTCCTTTAGATAATCCCAAATTGCTTTTACCTAGAGATTGCAATGGGGTGGGTTGGGTACGGGTTTCATGAGTGTTTTTATTATATTTAATGAATCATAAAACTCCTCTAATAGAAGTGAAGAAGTGTTGAGTGATAATGAAAATAAATGAAAAAAAATCATTTAAATTTCATTTAAATTATTTTTAAATTAAAATAAAAATTAAACCTTACTTTGTCACATATTTAAATCTACCTAGTTTGTGATTGTTGCATGTCAACTTAAGAGAAAATATGTTTCATTGTAACAATTAATTGTTGACCGATCACAAGATTATCAGAGTTAATAATTAAGTATAACAAAAAAACTAAATTACACAACAAAGTTAAAATTTAAAAATTCAAATACCACAAAATTTTTTTTTAATCAAACATCTCTACTATCTTTCACAACACAGAGCGATTTTACTCGTGAATAATTTATAATATTTGTAAGCATCTTTTGAGTCTTGAGACATTGTCTGGTTTTAATGAATCCTCGAAACTAACTAGCCAAATTTTTCTTGGGAAAAAAATTGAACGAGGACCTTCACTTGTTTGTATATTTGAAGTGAAATTTCCATACTCCTCCCCCATAATACGCAACATCAGATTCAAAGTCAATGATTCAATCATATTGTTTAAGTCATGGCTTAGCTTGATTGCAACAGTCCACATAAGTTGCCATTACCCTTTACTTTTCCAAGCAAGGATCATTGACGATTTAATTTTCCATTTTCTTAATAGGAGAATTTTAACAAAGAATTTCCTTCCACACCAAGCGTGTCTATGACTAAGCAAAAATATCACAAAAGTGTTCTACATGCCAACCTCTTTATTTTTTTTAAGGGTATAACTTTCTTCCATCAATAAACTCATTATAAAAATAAAAGTAATATTTTCGGTTACAATTTCACAATCAGTTAAGATAAAAAATAAATAAATAAATAAATAAATATATATATATATATATATATATTAGAGTTTCTAATTATTATATAAAGAGATGGTATTAAATATTATACGATTTAATAACTTTATATTAAATATGAATTTTGTAAATTCAATGGTTAATTTTTTTTTAGACTTTTTAACTCAAAAGATACTAATATTAACTTTAGTCTTTTTAAACTTTGTTTGATATTATAATACATATAATTATGAATGTATATTAATTAAATGCAAACAATCACGCTAATTTTTTTTTACTACCCCTATAATACTACAATAATAGGGTCTTTTACAAATGACTAGCCT